AAGAGCATTCCGAGTAAGTTACCTAATTTTTCGCTATAGCTGTTTTAGTTGAATTAACTTTAGTTACCGGGCTGTTAATTTTTTTCAACGTGATTTTAAAAATAAAATAAACTCATTCAGGATGAAGAATTTACAGGGAATGAGAGCACTTAGGTTTACGCTCAAGAAACGCTACAAAACTTTTAAATGAAGTCAAACTTGCGGGCTTTCAAAAACCATGCTGTACGTTCTAGTCCGCGACTTAAGCGTGAGGCATCAGTACAAAGTGGGGTCAGCGGAGTGTAGTCTAAGTTACACGACAGACATGAAGGCTTGCTATGAAAATAAGTGCGGCCAACCAACGCATCTTTCTCTTAGAATATTCCTCAGTCCAGTTGTTTGTTCTAGCTAAATGTCCATTATTTCTAGACTACGCAAAGTAGAATCTGTAGGGTCTCTTTATCAGCGACTGGATGAAACTGATCCAAAACCATGACGAACTGTAGTCTCTATAGCGAGTTGTGAAAATACCTTATGAAAATGAAAAAGTAAGTTAACCAGAGATAAGGTTTAAACCAGAAGATGGCAAAAGAGCTATACGGCTTTAGGCTAAAATCAAGTAGACAGATTACAACATGCTGCTGCCGCAAGAACGAGTCATACGTTGGTCGTTAATTCGAGTATACGACAAAGTCGCACATAACACTGCTTCAGGAAACCCAGGGGGCGATATAAGCAGGATTTGGTATGGTACTTGATCACCTGTGATGCGCGAATGCACAGCAGCATCAGTCTTGACTCAAACAACGTTTGTGGCATCAACGAGGTATGTGATTCGAACAACATACTTGCTCGTGGCATCCATGCGAATGTTTTTCCACCTAAAATCCTTACTGCTTTAGGCAACGGAGTCTGTACTTAGAAACATAGCAACAAAAAAATGAATTCCATGATACCTTCTATCCTTTGGACAAAAAATGAATACTTGGCACTCGTTCAAGAAAAATATTCAATCAAGATGAATAGATGACGTCCGCAAGTAAACTGAAAAGAATATCAATCACATCACTACTACTGTGAAAGCCTAAACTGTTAGTCCTGATGTCTACTTTCTGAACAGAATGACATGGCAGTATTACCATAACCGTTCCGTAAACGGTTTTACTTTAAACCATATCTAGTTGGTTTAAACCTAAGATTATATTAATACATTATATTTAAATTCCGGACACCTAACTTTCAAGGCGAAAAAGGTGCAGTTTCTTATTTACACCGATACTACTGTAGAGAATGAATGGAAGTCACTAACAACATTTCACAGTTCCCTTAAATCTCTTCAACTAGCAGTAGGTGAGTTTAACCAGGCCACGAATCCTTGATATAGGAGCCTGCAGTGCATGGGAAGCAAGACTACATTTCTCAGTTCAGCTAAATGCAGGTACGTTAGAACCTCTATAATACTAAAGGAAGCAAAAACAGCGTAAATGCAAATACAAACTATTTACAAACATAACAGTAGTTGCAAACTCTGTCGTTGGCGGATTAAAGCCCGTTTCACTAACGACTGTCGCGAAGTCTCCATACAATTTAACCACCTGCTCTTCATGGTAATCACGTCATCGAAAATTATACCGATTCAAAGTTCTTCCGAGTTAAAAGGTTTCGTCCAGGCTGTTGGGGGGACTAAGGCAGGCTATAAAAGTTCACGGTCAAAATCTGCTCATCGACCTCTGTCAACCGGGGCGTAACAGCACAACTGCTGAAAAAGATCGACGGAACGACGATGAAGATATCAGTCAACAACGGAGTTCCTATCCATTCTGAACGGAAGAGGCGGACAGCGCGATGTCATTATAGCACGTCAGAAAACGCTCCATGAAAACGACACCGCCAGTAGGAACTTACAGTCGGAGATTAGAATGTATCCTCTCTCAGAGGCAAAGAACAAGAATTGATTGATGAGGCCATAAAGTACCAACCCGACATTGTTGGACTCTCGTCCACGAAGCGCCAAGGCTCTGGACTACTGACTGAACCTTGGCGGTTGGAAGCTATTCTACTCAGGTGTCAATATCACGACACGCGTTCAGGGCGGTGCTGATGTTCGGTTAGAGCCCAACCTCGCAGAGAGAATCATTAACTCGAAGCCTGTCAGTAGAAGGGTGGTAATCCTCTGACTGAAGTTATGTTGACCTTTGCACAGGAGAACATGATACCTTTCTTGAGGAAGTGGAGTGTGCTCTTTATGAAGTGCCGAATATGGAGTCCCCATAATCATGGGCAATTTTAATGCGCACGTTGAAGTAGACGCTGAAAAGTGGAACGGCGTGATTGGAAAAAACGGCCCTAGCGACTTCAACAATAGCGACACGAACTTGTTGCGATTTTGTGCAAACATCGGACTGTCCATTATGAACACCTTCGAGCATCGAAGAGTGCATCAATATATTTGGTATAGCAAAGCTTGCGCACTGAAGTCGATCATCGATTTGACAATCGTCTGATTGAACTTTGAAGCTCTGTAACGAATGTTCGCGGTAAGAAAGGTGCAGAGCTGCCAACCGATCACCACCTTCTTGCTGGCACGCTAAGCTGTAAGAAATCGAGTACCATACGAAGATCCGTTGGCAGAAGCAACCAGAGAATCAAATGGGAAACATTATCTTCGGTGGACACGAGAGCGAGATTTGCAAACAACATCACACGCCGGTTTGGTTTCACCATAGACGTGAATATCTCGTGGCAACTCTTCAAAAGCTGCGCCATTCTGAAGGCTACCGCCGAATGCTGCGAATTTAAACGGCTTGGCCTGCCGCCTGAAGATCAGAAAAGAACTTCTTGGTGAGAGAGGTACAACTGGCAGTTAAATAGAAGCTGCACTCATCAAATGGCTTGGAAACAAAAACTGTTCTACTTGCGTGCGAATTTGTACAAACACGCAAGGCGGCAGAAAACGCAGTGGCGAAAGCCAAGGTTCATTCACAAATGAAGATTCGGTGA